ACATACAACAATGATTACAAATTCAGAATACTGGACAACAGATGATGATATTCTCAGAATTTGAGGAATATCACAGAAATATTGCTGGATCCCATTGGTCTTGGTGAAAGGAAGCCTGAACAGAGCACCTGTGTGGATAGCAGAGTAGACCAAACCAGAGGCCCAGGAACCAGCTGCAGCCTGGGAACACAGACTTGGGGTGATGATGATCCCATAGTGCAGAGGGTGACAAATGGCCACATAGCGGTCATAGGACATGACCACCAGGAGGGCAATCTCCACTGCTCCAAAAAGGATATTCAGGAAAATCTGTGCAGCACACTCTGTCAGGGAGATCCTCTTATTGTCCATCATGGAATTCACAATGGCCTTGGGAACAACAACTGTGATACTTCCGAGATCTATGAAGGACACATTGCTTATAAAAATGTACATGGGAGAGTGCAGACGTGTGTCTGTCAGGATAACAGTGACAGTCACAAGATTCCCTGTGAGTGCTCCCAGATAAATAACTAAGAATAACACACCTTGTAGAACCTGGAGCTCCCGGGAGCCTGTGACATCCATGAGGAGGAATTCTGTGAAGATGGTGAGGTTGTCCATGTCTTCCAACCAGCTCTGGTCTCTGCCGTCAGAGGATAAAGTGAGAAGCAGATGTTCCAAGCAGAATGGAGAGCATCCATTAGACCTATAGTGTGTACTATAATCAGGAACTTGGGAGAAAGTAAATGGACATAGCTATCTTGAAATACAGTGATTGCATATTTTCCATTTCAATTTCCTTTGGCAAACTGCTGATACATATTCTATCAATGTGTATAATCATAAAATGTGAGAACTAATCAATAAAGTACTTAAAGTGCAACCCAGGCCCAGCAAACTTTTATTTGGTATATTTAAGTGTTTTATAGTTTTAAAGGAACCTTGAGAATTTTTTCCACTTGCTTAATTTTGCATGTATTTCCCTGATCTATGAGAGATTCTGTAACAACTCCAGACATCCAAATCCCACATCTGCTCCTCATCCTGTGGATGGAGAATGTTTGTGATGCCACCCCTCTTGTAGCTGATGCTCTCTTCAGTTTTCCCCTAACAGATCTAATGCGTGAACCTAGTCATGTTTAACTATGACTTTGCCTGAAAGGACACCAGGATGGTCTCAGGGCACCTTTCTCTCACTTCAGATGCTCTTTCAGACCTGTGTGTGAGCCATTTCTTTCCCCCTTTGCACTGTCATCTATGCAAGATGGTATTTCTTTTGGGACATATAATTCTATTTTACTATTGGCAGCATATAGGCTGATCCCATCTAAGAAAGAGAAAGAATGAAAGAAGAAAGAAAGAGAGAGAGAGAGAGAAAGAAAGAAAGAAAGACATATTAAAGTAGTTTTCCTACATCCAACCTTTTCATTGGAATGGATTCTAATATTTAACTAGGTGCCAACTATCTACCCAGAATTCTCCTCTGTTTGCTTTTATATCTTTGCTACAATCCCTTTATTCTTAAATCATTATTTTAAATTTAATTTATTTACCTGTG